CCCCAGCCTTCTCCTGGACGGTGAGACCAGCTGAGCTCCTTGTCTGTGGTTGTGGCCCCAAATGCAGGCCTGCAGATGCTCGCAGCCCCCTGTGTGGCTCCCTCCTCTCAGAGTGGGCCTGGTCTGGGGCTGGCCTTGGCATCCCAGGCCTCCCGGGAGGCCCTGCTTCTAGGCTGCCGCGGGCGTGGCCCCTGCCTCCAGCCCCAGGACTGCCTCCCCAGAGGGCATGCCGCTGTCATGATCCGTGGGAGCTTGCCATTCTGAAGGGTGCAGCGCGGTGTCTCTGGGATCTAATCCAAACCCTCCTTTGCTGACGAGCTGGAGCATATCTTTGGAAACTCAGGAGCCGTTTGGACTTCTGTCTTTGATCGCATCATGCTTGCTAAGATTCTCTTGGCAATTCCTGGGAATTTGCACGGCAGTCACCTCTAGAAGCCAGCCCCTTGCAAGTTTTTCATTGTGATGACCTTCTCCTGGTTCATCCCCGGTCTGTTAACACTGCGTACTGAGCCCTCATTTGACGTAAGTTCTTGGTTTCCATGTGGCAGATTTGCTGGTTATCTACCCTGAATTTTGGAGGCTACTGTGTGAGTTCTCTGGGGCTTCTGTCACAAAGGACCACAAGTATGGTGGCTCTAAGCCACAGGAATGGATTCTCACACTCTGGAGGCCAGAATACAGAAACCAAGGTGTTGGCAGGGCCGAGCTCCCTGAGGGCTCCGGGCTGGGGTGGAGGGGGGAGTGGTGGTGGTGGATCCCTCCTGCCTCGTCCAGCCTCTTCCAGTGACTGGCTACTGGCCTCACTCCAATCTTCCCTCCATCTTCACATGGCCTTCTGCCCTGTGTCACCTCCACTTGCTACAAGTCATTGGACTTATAACCCTTCGGAAATCTAGTGTGATACAATCTCAACATCCTTGACCTAATGACGTTAGCAAACACCCTGTGTCCAAACGAGGTCATGTTCAGAAGTTCTGGGTGGACATACCTTCCACCAGGCAGAAGCCATCACCGCGCACCACCAGCCTGGGCTGGTCTGCCTCCTTTCAGCTTCAGAGTTGGCCTTTCAGGTGAGCCTGCTGGGTCCTAACAGGCTCGGCCACCAGCCCCCGTGCAGAGGGCTGAAGCTCTCCATGTGAGAGTCCGGTCTCCCCCCAGCAGGCTTCCCCGTTGCCTGATGGCACCACTCACTGTGGTCTGAGCTCTGAGGGACAACTGGGCTGTCTCTGAAGCTCTCCTGTTCCTTGGGTCTAGTAGTTTGAGCATGTGTACCATCGTTTTTGGTGACGGTTTTGTGACCATGTCAACGTTTAGGGGGAAAGTCTCCCTGAAAACCCTCATCCTTTGCTTTTATTTTTCAAAATTGTCTAAGCTGTAAATGGATCTCAAAGACAGACAGACAAACAAACAAAACCAACCCAGCTGGAATTTTGATGGGGAGTACGTTGTGTTTCTTAGTCCGTGAGACAAATGGCACTTTGTCACACCATCCTTGACCAGCGTGTCTCTCCAGCCGACCAGTTTTCTTTTATGTCTTTTAATGGAGTTTAACTTTGTTTCACAAAAGTCTTGGGCGCCCTTCGTCAGGATATCCCTTGTGTTGCTGTGAGCCGCGCCTCTCTTTCTGTCACGCTTTCTGGTAGGTTTGCTGACACACAGGACCATGACTGCTTTTGGTAAATTGGTCTTACATTTGGAAATCGTGCTGCTTTTCTTGTTACTTCTAACAGTTCGTCCGCTGCTTTTGTTTGCTTTTCCTTAGACGTGATCATATTGTCTGCAAATAATGCCTGTGTTACGTCTCCTCTTTCAATCTTAACAACCCTGTTTCTTTTTCTTGTCATGTAGCTTTGGCTAGGATGGCCAATAATCTGTTAAATGAGCATTTTCCAAACCTTTTTGACAAAATCCTTCTAAGAAAAACATTCTATATTGTCATCCAATACACATTTGTATGTTACATATATGTAGAAAACATATATGTTGTGTATATTTATTTATGTTACCGAAACAAAATTTTCATGGAAAGTATTTACTCTTGTTATGCACAATGCAGAAAATTTCTCCTTGTTGTTCTTTGTTTACTAAAGAAAGCCTGGCTGTAACTCTTTGATTTGAGTTCACAGTCCACAGGTTAGCCAAGTCACGAAGCTGAAAAACCCTGCAAAATACTATGACAGCAGTGACAGGTGCCCTTGCTGCGTCCCGGACCCCGTGTGAACACCCCTGAAGGTCGCCCAGTGAGGATGTTTGCTGCAGATTTATTCCTTCTTTCCTGCATCCTCTTGGGCTAATGAAGTACTTTTTGGCATTCCATTCTGATCTCTCTACTGACTTTAAAGATAAGCCTGTTTGCGGTGTGATTTTTGTGACTATAATGTGCACCCTGCAGTTATCACAATGAACCTCATGTTGTCATTAGGGCCTTGAAAAAGTACAGTTCCACTTATCAACTCATTCTTGGTGGTACTGTCTTGTATTTTGCATCTATACATGTTACACGCCCCGCAACATACAGTTACAGTTTTTACTTTCAACAATCAATTGTCTTTTTAAGAAAGCAAGAGAGAAAAGCACATTTTTTTGCACTTGCACGTTTACCACCCCTGATGCTCCACTTTCGATCCTGTGGACCTGACTTCACTTTGGTGTCATTTCTTTACAGCACAAAATCTCTCCGTTAGCCTTTCCTTTACCTCAGGTCTCTTGGAAATGCACTCCCTCAGGTTTTGTGTGTCTGAAAATGTCTGTTACATATTCATTTTGGAAAGATCTTTTCTCTGGATGTAGACTTCTGGGTTGAAACTCCCTCTTCTATTGTTCCCTGGCCACCACTTTTTTTCTGATGCGAAGCCAGTGTCATCTGTCCCTAGTGCGATGTGCCATTTCCTGGCTGCCTGCAAGGCCTCCTCTTGCCTGTGCTTCTCCTCGCTTTCTCCAGCGCTTGCTGAATCAGAACTGCTTTCTCTGACGTGGTTTTCATTTCCCTTAAAACCGG